TGTCCAAAAAACCCTCCTCTATTCATTTGCTTCTTTCCATATCAGAGCTGGCAACTTAAGGGAATATTTTAATATAAAGTTAAACAAACCATATGTGCAGGGAGAGCAGAGGCTGTTGCAGAGCAGTGTGAAGGTAACCTTGAGCTGAGCCTTATAAACCCTTTCCTCTGTGAAGGCAGGATTAAATAAAGTTTCCTGGCAATCCAGAGCTGGGAATCACAGCCTGGCAGGGGGGGAGCCCCCAGCCCCGGGGTGTCCCCACCCAGCCTGGCCCTGGCCCACCTGCACTTTCTCATCCTATGAGTGTTGTATTCTCCTCTGGGGGGATTTGTGCCCAGTTATCCTTTATAAGGAGCTGTCCCTTCCCTGGGTTTGGGAAAGCTCTCTCCTGGCTGGGTTGGCTCTTGGAATGTCCAACACCGTTGAGCATGAAGGGCTTCTCTGAGATGGGGTTCGTAAGCAGTTATTAGATTTTTTATATATATGTTATATTTTATATATTATTAGCAGTTATTTTAGTAGTTATTGTGATTTTTATATACATTATATTATAATATTCTAGATATTATTAGCAGGTATTGTGGTTTTCATATACATTATATTATATTCTCTATATTATTCACAGGTATTACGGCTTCATATATAGTATTCTATTCTATGTATTAGTCACTATGAGTTCTATATAAGTTATAGTATAATATTCTAGATATTATTAGTTATGCTACCCATGCACAGGCCTGGGTTTCCAGGGAGAATTTTTGGATGCCTTTCCCAGACCCTGGAGCCCAAGGAGTCGAGTCCGGCTGCAGGTGCCTGTGTCTAGCACAGCACTTCCCAGGTCTCTCTGATGCTCAAGGGATAGGAAAGTCCCCTCACAGCTCAGCTGGGGCGTGTGGGTGGTTTTCCTCTCCCAGAAATAAAAGGTTTGTCCTTCCTGGGGGATCTTTTTTCCCAGGAAGAGACTTTTCCCCGTGTGGCAGACTGGGTGCCACCAACCCTCACTGTCACCATGGCCTCCACCCCATGGGCTCAGGCTAGCTTGGAATGCCCCCTTTCCTCCTTGGAATGCCCCCCTGTCCTCCTTGGTTTCCTTAGCATCTCTCCCAGCTCGCTCCACATCCCAGGAAAATCTCTGCTTCTCCTAATCCCCATCTCTCTTGAGACTGCCAAGTCCTCAGTTTCCCTGAGCTGTTCAGGGAGCAGGTTCTGTTCTGGGATAGGAATCTCTGTGCTTTGGTACCTCTGCCACCAGTGTATTGGTCCTCCCTGGAGCCAGGAGCTCAGCCTGGGAACAGGGAAGGAGTGTGGGGCAGGAGAACCTGTTCTGTGCTGCTCAGCCAGAAGTGAGCCCACAGCACTTGTGGGAATGGCAGATCTCTTCCCAAACTGGGCCTTCCATCTCTTCCATGCAGGAGAATGTGGGAAAAGAAAGGAATCAGCCCTCCTGGGAAAGGAGGTTTTAAAGGGAGCTGCAAGAAATCATCCTTCTCATACTATTAATGGGCTGTGAAGGCATTGTCTGCTGCCTGAAAAGCTCGTTTGTTAATTGCCCCAGCGCTGCCTCTAATCCCGGATTAATGAGGGCTGAGGGAAATCTCCACGGAGGAGACCTGAGTGTGGGCTTTGCAGGCAGATTTGGTTTGATTCTGCCCCACCCGGGGGTCCGTGGGGGGCTCATCATGGACTGAATGTGGCGGGTGCTCCAGTAGCACCCGTGGAAGATGTTTCAGTGGATCTGAGCCCCGTGGAGGGGGGTGGGTCACACTTCCCAGCTCCCCACTGATGTCCCCACGTATCCCATCATGGTCTCTGTGGGATTTGTGCCGCTGTAAATACCATGAGGGGTGGTCCTGTAGGTGCTGCTGGTGGGGTGCACCTGGATTTCCCTTTGGGAAATATCCTTTTGATGTATCTCATCACCTCCCCGAATCCCAGAGCCAAGAGTGGCTCCGGTGCTCAAAACCTCGGGATAAAACCATTTGGCTGCCCCGGTTTGTTCCTCATCGTTAAGCACAAGGAGAAAAACAGCAGCGTCGTGGCTTTCCCTGGAATAGGGAGCTGTCAGGCTCTGGATGTGCCGGCGGCTGTGGCTCGGGGCTGCTCTGCCACTGTCACAGGGATTGTGCAGGTGTCTGTAAATGCCAGTGATGGAGTGACCAGAGAATTTGGGAATGATGAGCATGCTCCAGGGATGGCTGCCAGCCCCAGCACCACCTCTGGAAGAGGCCCTCCTGCAGGATTCAGGCAGCACTTAGTCTGGGGGGGAGCTTTGCTGAGCCAGCAGCTGGCTGGGATCCAGCTGTGTCTCCCTGAGGGACAGCCCCGGCCTTCTTCCCATCCTCCTCCACCTCCTTGCCCCGTGTGAACACATCCCCTCCCATGCAGGGCTCGGCTCACTAAGTCTGACTGAAAACCGTAACTGGATTTTGCAGCCTGGGCATAAAATACCCAGAACATAAGACACATTAAAACTCATTAGGTTAAGCCCTTTCACAGACACTCAGCATAGTCTGAGTGAATTAAATCACCTTTTTCACAGGGTTTAAGTGTCCAAAGGGACATGCAAGGGTGGGAAGAAGGGGGAGAGGGAGACTGGGGGAGTCCGGCTTAATGTCCCTGGAACCCCCTGCTCCATGGTGACCTCTCCCAAATACCACTGTAAGTCATCCCCATCCAAGCAGATTCCCTCTTCTGGCCTTGAAAGGGAAAACAGGGAAATAATGGGGAAAGGGAGGTTTCTCAGCCTTGCACGTGGGGATGGGGTTGATGCCAGCAGCAGGGATGCTTAGGGAGGGATGCTCAGGGAGGGATGCTGAGGGTCAGCAGGGATGCAGCGGGTGAAGGTTGGGCTGATTATTCATTTTTGTTGCTGATGACAGTGTGGAATCCTGCTCCCAGCACCCAAATCCAATCAGCCCTGGTACTAAACAAGGGAGCTCCCTGCTCCTTCCACAAACATTCTTCCGAAAGAAACCCAGCAGATGGGATAATGCTGATGGAGAGAAGCAGATAACGCACACAATTGGGGTTGTTGCAGATGAATTAATTAAAGTGATAATGACGCTGTGAATTAGGGTGCATTTCAGCAGCTGGGATGGGGATCCTGGGTACCAGGGCTGTGGATCTCTGCTGCGCCAGCTAATTTACAGCATTCCATGATTCCCTGTATCCTCTCCCTGCCCAAATCTCTGCAATACTCGGCTATTTCCTTCCCTGCCTTTGGCTTTTTAAATGATTCATGGCTTAAACCAGTTTTCTTTATGAGCTGCTTTCACACGTGTGAGGGGAATTCAGCCTCCAAGAGGCTGGAACGTGTTTGGATGAAATTGCAGGTGGAGGAACAGAGCGTGAAGCAAAAAACACCCTTTTTGGCTCTGCTTGGACCATTTTGGAGCAAAATACACAGAGAAAGGAGCAGAGTCATGGAGGTGGGATTACCTGGGAATCGGTGGCCTGAAGGCAACAGCATTTCTTTGCTTCCAGGGCTGGAAACACCCTGGATTTGATTTGGTTTCACCCTGGATTTGATTTGGTTTGGGAGCCACTCACCTGCCCCCAGAGTAAATCCCCCACCCGATGCCATCTAATGGCTGTGGGGTCTGGGATGAGCATCCCTTGGGCAGGAATCAGCATCCTGTGTGTAGGGCTCAGCATCCCTTGGGCTGGGGTCTGGGATATCCGTGGGAATTTGCAATGCCAGCTCAATGCCATGTTTAAAAATGGAGCTGAAGTTGCTCAAATCAGCTTGATTAAACAAAATTGCCCTTTTTGGGATGTGCTGCAGGCCCTGGGCTTGTGCAACACCGTCCAGTCACCTTGGTGCCTTGGAATAACCCAGGGCAGGATCCAGCCCAGGGTTCCTGGATTTATTTATAACTTGGCCTTTGCAGAAACGAGGCTGGTGCCCTGTGGGTCCTGTCCCCTGGAGACCAGAGGGAACACTAATAGGAGGTTGTGCAATCAGCATGACCTGGTTTCTGAGGAGCTCCAGGCCTTTTGCAGCCGTTAATCAATTAGTCTGGGGCAGCCCCGTCCCTCTGGATGAATGATCTGTGATCCCTCTGGAGCTGGGGCCTCATTCCTGTCTGGACTTGTGACCACAGCTTCCCCTGGCCCTGGGCAAGTGCTGAGACCTTCAATAAATCTTCTCCAGAATATCTAAAAATCAGGTTTTGCCCTTAAATGAAAATCAGCCGCCTAATTCCAGTCTAAACCCTTCCATGGATTCCCAACAAGGAGGAAGATTCACTAACCCCCCGACATGCTTGGAAATCCTGCACAAAAATCCATCGGCAGATGGGTAAGCCCTGCCCTGGCTATACAAATCAGGCCAATAAATCCCAAATAAGAGGGCTTTCCTTGGTGGTTTAGCCTATGGAAGGGATTTAGAAGCTCCACAGGGAAGCACATGCCTGGGGATGTCTCACTGCTGAGGAACAGGATCCGATCCCGGCGCAGCTCCTTGGGATGAGCTGTGACACCGGAAAGGTGCTGAGTCAGCTGTTCTTAAGCCTTTCCCCAGCAGAGGGGATGCACAAACCCATTTCTCAGCAAAATTAAGGCAGAGAGGAGCTGAATAAATAAACTTTGCTTTGATTGGAAGGCAGCTGAAGGCTCAGTGTGCTCTGCTGGCCCTGGGAGAGGCATCAGAGGGTGCTGGAGGCTCGAAGGGAGTTGCCTCAGATGCTCCAGGTGTTCCCTGCTGAGGTGGAAATCTCCACATCCAACATCCGGGTTTAGCTCGGTTTCATTCCCAACCATAACGTATTTAAATTTAAAGAGTATTTAAATTCAACCTGATGCATCTCATTTGCTACTTCTGCTTTAGAGAGTGAAAAAGGGTGAAAATCCATTTCCATGGGGCTGGAGAAGACGGCGGCAGCTTCATCTGGGAGCTGGGGCTGCCCAGTTTCTGCCCAGCAGCAATTCCAAGCTCCCACTGCACGACAGTCCTAGGAAGGGAGGCTGAAAGGCTTCAGGGATGCCAGTACAGGGTGCCCAGTGTCCCTGGGGTTTCATACTGGTGTTACTGGTTGGTGCCATCACACCAGAGAGACACAAGGGTGTGAGGCACAGGAGCTGCTCTGTGTTGTGGAACCAAGGGTTGGTGGAGGGACATGGAGCTTTCTGGTGGTCCCTGCACTAAAGTGGATGGCTTTTGGGTGACAGCAGGTCCAGGCAACCCCTGTGGACCAGGTTCTGTATCCCATGGACTGTGTCCTGTATCCCATGGATGAGGTACTTACACCCCGTGCTCTGGGTCCTTCATGTCGCCCCATTTCCAGGTTTCAGCCGAGGAATTTTGGGGGTATACTGTGCTGTGTACCCAAAGGTGCTCAGTGGGGTGCAGGACCCTTCTCCCCCCACTCCCTGAGATGTGGGACTGAGGTTGGTACCTGCGTCACAGCCCTCCCGTGGGACAGGGGCCCCCAGGTGCGTCACCCCATTGTTGTCATCAGACTCCATCCCATCCCCCTGTGTTTTAAAGCCCTATTCTTTCCTTGTCCCTCTGATAAGAAATGCTAATGATGTGATGAAATTGGATAGTTCCCATCGCCTTCTCCTTCTAATGGAATTCTTGTGTTGGTTAATTTGCTGTTTTTAATGGGCTGATTGTTCTCCTGCCCTGGGGGAACCACGTGAGCCTGCGGCGTGTTTGGCCGTGGTCAGATGTGAGGTGGTGCTTGAAGACAACTGAACCTTGGGGCCCAATAATTGCAGAGCAATTTGAAGACAAGACTCAAATGTATAATTTATCGGTGCCTCATTCATCCCGGTCACACGAAGGGGCAGAGACGCACCCGCTGCTCATCAGAGCCCCCCTGGACCTGTGCCCACCTCCCTGTGCTTAGGGTGGATGGATAAATCTGGAAAATTCATGAGGAGTTCCTTGCCTCCTTGGCCTCAGGACTGCTGACACCGCAGAGGGAGGTGGGTTGGGTGTGGAGTGATGCTGAACTGGGTATCCCACTGCTGGGATGAGGATTCCGGCTCCTGGCAGGAGCAAGGTGATGGAGGTCAGTGAGGAAGCTGGACCCACTGCCTGGGAAATCCTCCCTCTCGCTCTGCTGTGCTTTGGTTCTGGGTGCCAAGGGGATCTGGGGCAGCTGGGAGGGACACCCCTAATCCTGGCACTGCCAGCTGGGAGATTTTTTCAGCTCCCCAAGGCTGCATCTATTTCGTGGGATCCAACCGGTGTACCAGTGGGTCACAACCAAGCGAGGACTTGGGAATAAATCCCTCCCTGGCCTGGCTGTCCCAGCAGTTTTCCAGACAGTCTTTACAGCAGCCAGCGGAAGGCCATGCTGAGGACACTGCACCATGCTGGCTCAGGAATGTCCCCGTTTGCTTCATTAGTTTGGATGCCAAAGTGTGTCCCAGCTGTCCCCCAGCCATGCCACGGGCTGGGCTGGCACCAGAGCTGCTCCCAAACACAGCCCCAGTGGGATGCAGGCAGTGGGGGACAGGATGGGACCCCTGGGGACACTCCCCGGGGCAGGTGACAGTGGTGATGGAGACCCAGAGTGGTTGGTCCTTCACCCCAAAGCTGCTGCACTGAGGGGGTGGATCCATCCCTTACAACACAGGGAGCTCAGGTGGGAGGCAGGGAGTGGTGTTGTGGGCAGCTTCCAGCATCCACATCCATCAGCTCCCAATATCCCCAGCCCCTCCTGGGACTGGTGCCAGTACTGGGAGCACTGGTGCTGATATTGGGGGGGTTGTTGCTGATACTTGGAGTGTTAGTGGGAGTGCTGGTGCCGATACTGGGAGAATTGTTGCTGATGCTGGGACCATTAGTATTGACACCGGGAGCACTGGGCCCCCCCCATATTGGGAGTACTATTGCTGATACTGGGAGTGTTAGTGCTGATACTGGAAGTGCTGATGGTGACACTGGGAGCACAGGTGCCGGCTGTATTTGCTGCCCCCACTGCCTGTGAGCCCTCGGCAGCCGGGGAGTAAGATCTGATCCCATTATCTCCCACAGACAATTAGCAGGAGCATTAATGGAATATATGCAAATGTGCAGTAATTGACCTGCGACTCAGAGGTTCATGATGGAGAAGGATGAGCTCCAGATGCTTAAGGAGAGTCATTTAAGCTCCTTCTTTATATGCTGCTCTTCCCTGTCAAGCGAGCCTGGCAGGACCCAGCCTGGGAGGGGAGGAGGATGGGTGGCAGTGGGGACACTGGGGAGTGGGGACAGCCCCGGGGACATCCTGCTTGCACCCCAAACCACCCCATGTTCAGCTCCAGTAGGTGGGTTTGTTGTGGCATGGAAGGGGAAGCTGTAAGATCCCTGTTCAGGGCCAAGCACCTCAGGTCCACTGGAACACCAGGCTGGGGATGTTTGCCCTCTGTGGTGGGGTTGGACCACCTTCCCTGCCCATGTCAAAGTGTCACCTGCTCCTGTGTCCTGCACAGAGGTGCCTGCACATGGAGAAGCCCGAATGCCAATCTCCTTGCTCAGCTGCTACTTTGAGTTTCCTCAGCCTCTACCCAGGCTGTGTTGGCTCCAAGGAAGGGGGTGGTATGGGTTTGTGCCCCACCACTGCTCTATCCCTGCCTGGCCCTGAGCTCCACCAAGTGCACCCAGCAGAACCAGAGGCATTTGAATAACCACTGCGGGAACTCAAATTAAAATATTGATGTATAATTCATGCCATATGTTCCACCAATATTTTTTATTTAATCAACTGAAGACAGATGGCAGGAACACGGAGGCCATTAAACTAATGGCACTTTGTCTTTCCATTTATTTCCGTCTCCTTTCCTAAAATAAGACGAGACCGTGACAGGCAGCACACCCTGGGCACGAGACCATCTCTGGCACACTGATGCATCAGCAAGGTGTGGTGGCACCGCCATTTCCCACATGGTGTTATCCCAGGAAGGGCTGGAACAAATCTTCCATAGCTGGGGGAAAAATCTGGAGGAATCCCATAGCTGGAGAAATCCAGTGAGGATTCCCATGAGGGAAGTCCAGCCTGGCTGGGCTGGAGAGGATTGTCCCTTCCCTGGGCTCTCCTGTCCTTCCTGTGCCAAGAGCCACCAGTGTGTTCCCTGAACAGCAGGGGGTCCATCCCAGCTGGCAAGGTGGGAATGGGGATGTTCCTGGCTGGAGGATGGAGGATGTCATGGCAAAAGCTTCACTGGGGGCATGAGAGGCTAAAACACAGTGATGGGGAGAGTCACACATGGATGCCATGCTCCCATGGGATCTCTCAGCCCTGGGATGCCATGTACTGGAGAATCCACTGGCAGCATCCTCCCACCCTGTTGTCCATCCATGGGTTTCACTTGGGGTCTAGTGGTGCAGAGGTGTTTGGGCCTAGGGGTGAAATGTGCAAGTGTGTGGGTGCACAGCTCATCCTCCTGTAGGTGAAACTGGGAATTCTGCACATGTCCCAGAGCCATCCTGTAGCTCCCCTCCTGCACAGCGAGGCAGAGAGCTGTGGGCTGTGTGGTTTGGGTCCACCCCCACACCCCTGCACCCACCAGCATCGCTCCCACTGCACCCATTTACCTGTCTGGGGGAGGTGGAAATGTCCCTTTCCAGGGTTGGAAGGCCATGGAGAGCCTGGGTGTCCTTCCTCACCCCACAGCAGGACAGGGACCACCATCCTCCCAGTGTCCTGGAACACTTTCCTGAGTGTGCCTTGCTCTGTTTGACTTGCAGGTGGAGATTTCTTGCCTTGGGAGTGAGCTGAATGGGGCTCCCTTAGACAAAGGGTCCCAGTCAGCATTCCAGGCTCCAGACGCGTCCAGGGACTTTTCATTCTTTGTCTGAAAGGGCAGCGGTGCCGTTCCCATTAGAGCGATGCCTGACGGAGCCGGTGCCGCCGGCGAGCGAGGAGCTGCGGCAGCTGATCGGCTTTCAAATCACCTTCAATCCTCGATTTCCTCGACATGATCCCTCCATCGGGCCAGTCTCCGGGGCACAGCCGGGGGGCTTCGCCGGGAGGAAAATAACCCGGTGACAGCCAGCTCTGGAAAAACCCCCGGTCACGACGACGGGGCTCAAAATCCACCTTCCCCACCACTCCAGGACTTTTTTAGACTCTGGCAGTACCTTTGCACGGCCTCACCCTGCAGCCCGCGCTGTGATTTCGGGGCACCCATCTGCTCCCCAGGATCCAGCACCAATCCAGAGGGGGTGAAGCCCCCCTTGGAGCATCCCTGGGGCCGGAGAGCAGCTTCCCCGCGGCGCCGGCTGCCGGGGGAGGGATGAAGACGCTATGGCCAAGCTATTGGTAAAACTCCAGCGGTACTTTCGGCGGAAACCCGTGCGGTTCTTCACGCTGCTGGCTCTGTACCTGGCGGCCGGCAGCTTGGTTTTCCTGCACTCCGGCTTTTCCGGGGAGCCCACGGTCCCGGGGAGCCCCCGCGGCCCCGCGGGGGGAGAGGGGCCGGGGCTGCCCTACCTGGGGGTGATGCAGCTGAGCCGCGGCTTCAAGGCGGCGGTGACGATGCCGGGGAGGGCCCGGCGACACGGCCACTGGTTCAAAAGCACCTCCAAGGAACCGGCAGAGAGGGGAAAAGCCAGGGACAACGGCGGCACCCGGAGTCGGGCACTCAGGGGCAGGAGCGGCCGCGAGAAGGAGGAGGACAGAGGTAAGGGCTGGGGACACGCGTGTGTGTGTGTGTGTGGGGTGGTCCATTCTTTTTGCCTCTCCCAAGGGAACATCATGAGCCAGGGCAGTGGTCACTGAGCTGGTTTGGCTGTGTATCCCTGCCAGGAGCTCATTCCAGAGCATGCACCGCCAGGAATTGTGTATTTATTTATTTATTTATTAATTTATAAACCATGTGCATGTGCTACTCGAGTGCACCCAAGGGACTCCCTGGGGTGTGGCACCTCACTGTGGAGACCACCAGTCCAGAGGATGTTTCCAGAAGGATCTTCTCCCTCCTTCCTTCTCTTCCCAAGTGCCAATAATCCACTTTTATTTTTCCATCTTCACTCTTTCCCCCCTGTGTATCACCAAGCTCTGAGTCGCCCCTCTCTTTTTGAGGGTGCCAGCTGAGGGGATGCTGCACCCCACCTTCCTCCCATCTTTGGCTGTGCCAGGGCCCAAATTTAATTTTCCTTGTGTTGGCTCTAATGAATAGAAACCCCAGATTTATGGGCTGTTTGCATTGCTGGGGTGTCAAGGCAGAGGCTGGCTGTGATTCCCATGCAGGCATGGAAATGCAAACAGGGCTGGGATTTGGCCTCTGGAGTCAGGAGATCCCTGCCTGGCTGCTGTCTGTGGTGTGTGAGGTGTTGTCAGGTGGGTCCATTATTAATGACCAAGGATAAGCGAATGTAGTCGTTGCCATCGATTTTTAAAATGCCATCTATTTATCCTGCAGGCAGCCCTACACAGCTGGAGCTGCACACTCCCACGGAATTCGGGTGGCTGGGAGCTGCCATCCCATCAGGGTTTGGCATCCCCGGGGTTATCCAGTCCTCTGGCACCCATGAGCACCCAGTGCCAGTCACCCAAACACCCCCTGTGTCCCCTCTCTGCTCTGCAACCCCTCTGGGGAAGGAGCATCTCTGCCTGAGGCTGCTCATTCCCCTCTCCTGAGCTCCAGAGTGTGGGGATGCACTTCCATGGGGACCCCTAATTCCTGTGATGGTTACACCAGTCTGCACCCCAAATTCAGGCTTGCTCCAGAGTTGCCTAATGGGCTTGGCACTTGTAATTCTCTGAGCATCCCAGGCTGGAAGATTCAGATCCCTGGACTCCTGATGGAGCAGGAGGTGTGGATGAAGGGAAGCAGGAACCTCCAACCCCATGGCAAACTTGTGATTTCACAAAGGTCCAGGCTTGGTCCCCCCAGCCTGGGCTGATCCCGGTGCATGAGGTGCTCCTCCTCAGCCACCACCCCCACAGCAGGTACAGTCCTCCATGCATGATCCAGGCTTGGAAAACAAAGAAAAAATGTCTTGTGGTGCTTACAGGACTTTCTCCTGCTAAAGCGAGCTGAAGGAGGTTCCCCTGTTGTATCCCTGTGTCGAGGGGTCTCCGGGGGCATTTCAGTGGTCACGTCGCTCTTAATGCAAATTGACATTTAGTGAATCCCAAGCAGATGGTCCCTGAGCTGTCAGACACCACAAGGAGCCCGAGCAGGCTCCAATCCAGGCCATATGCACCATGTCCTCCACAATTAACCCCGTCTGGCACCACCACCTCCTGTGCCCGACCACAAGGGACAGGGATGAGATGCAGGGCTGGGCTTCAAGGGATTTAGCTGCTCCCATGTGGTCTGGAAACATCATTTCCCCCTTTTTAATCACTCTTGGCAGCTCCCGAGCAGGATGGTGTGGAGAAATTCTCCGACTTGAGAAATCCCACGTGCCCGCTGTGCCTGGTGTGCCGGTAGGGCTGGGGGAGCCCCAGGGGATGGGCTGAGCACCCCCTCGCTCCCCTTCTCCTCTCCAAAGCACCGGGATATCTGGCAGGAACAGGCGGATTTAATGGTGCTGGTAATTAGGCAGGGGACAGCTTAACAAGGCGACTGTGGAGGCTCTGCCACGTGAGATTGTTCCAGAGGGAATATTGGAGGCTTTGCCATGTGAGGTTGTTCCAGAGGGAATATCGCTCCAAAAGCCGGCTCTGCTTTCGGGAGTGTGATGTGCTGCTTCCTTCTCCCTCGTCCTCCTCCTCTTCCTCCTCCACCCTCTGCTGTCAGCATCAGGCCTGCCAGGGAATGGCTTCTGCATCCCCATGGGAAGCAGTATCCCCATGGAAATGTGCATCTCCTTCCCCAAACCCGGGAGAATTTTGAGGCAGTGAGGCAGGGGAAACAGGCACTGTCCCTAACTCTCAGCCACATCCATCCTTGTCTTTTACTGGACATTTCCAGCTGGACTTTCCAGCTGTGACACACGACCAAGCAATGCCATGAGGAAAGGGGGACAGACCAGCCACTCCAGGCACGTAGCCAGAGCCATCCCTGTATCCCTAGCTCCTGGAAGAGTGGGATGTTTGGGGAATTTAATGACAATTGCTGGGTTGATCTGTCTGTTCACACTCTTGTTTCCAACGTGCTCCAAAATTCTTCCTGACTCCTTGTGAGGCATGTGCTGGGGCAGCCCCCCCTCTCCTTGCAAGCTGCGCTGAACCCACCGCCCGCCTCTCAGCATCTCCCCCTTCACTTCTGCCCTCTTATCTCCCTAATTATTCCAGTTGGCTTCCCAATAAGTCACAGTACACATATGTCAAGAGCAATGGATTGAAGGTAATGCACATCAGTCACCAGCTCGGTGCAAGTGACTGGAGAAATCCTGCCCCCACTGGATCCATTGGGGCTGGAATGTGCTGACCCGCCAAAACCTGCCCAGCCCTGAGGAAATGCCACGTTCTGCTGGGAGTAATTGGGAGCAGTGAGTTATGGCCTTGGTGTTAAAGTTATCAGGCACATTTCTCTCTGTCTTCCTCTTCCACCTTCCCCCAGGCTGGCTTGGGAAGGTGATTGCAGCACTGGTGGGGAATGGGGGGGGTCTGTGGGGGCACACCATGGGTGAGGTGAGCTTGTGGAGCTGGAGATGTGGAATGCAAGGAGGAGGTGAGATGTATTATCCCTGCTCCACATCCCTGCGTTGATCTAAGGCTTTTCTCTGCAGCAAACACTCTAGTGGGAGAAGGAGCAGGGCACTAACGAGGGTGCTAATGAGGGCACCTGACAAGGAGGCTGAGCAGGGACAGCTTGTGGACCATCTCACTCCTAACAGGAGCCGAGAGCCGGCACGGAATGTCGCCGCAGGCACGCAGGAGATGGCTCTTTGTGCTCAGGTTATTGGGAAAGGCTACATTTGTCAAGTAAATGATTTCACTGTGACTTCATTCAGCTCAATTCCCTCTCTGCTGGCATCTTCATTTACTCTCAGCACAGGCATCAGCCTTTACTTTGCCAAGTGTCAGCGCTGGACAAACATCCTCTGCTCCCAGGCTGAGCTGCTGGCTGAGGAAAATGTGTGTTAAATGATATTTCTCCTTTCTGCCCAGCCCTGTGCTCCTGGCAGGTAGGGTGGAGGGGATGGGTTATTTTCCTATGTAGCTCATCTTTTGGAGCAACTCTGCTGAGCTTGGAGGCTGGCGTGGAGGAAGAGGAGGGAGGGGAGAATCCTCAGTGCAGAGCCACAGCATCCCTTCTATCCATGCGGGTGTTCCTGCCACTTTTCCCTGTTTGTTGCACCCAGAGCACGTGTTTCCAAGGCAAACAAAACAGGGAATGTTGCAGCACATCCCTACTTAGGGAGTAATCAAGAGGAGGTGGGAATGGGTGAGCTCAGCCCTAGTGTGTTCTTACCCCCCTCTCCTCTCTCCACCCCCAGCACGATACATCGGCTGCTACGTGGACAACACTCGCCAGCGGACCCTGCGTGGGATGTCCTTCTTTGACTACAAGAAGATGACAGTCTTCCGTTGCCAGGACAACTGTGCCGAGCGGTAGGGCAGGGCACTGTGTCTCCAGGAATCCCTGCACACCTTCTCCATGAATCCCTACACAACATGTCCATCAGTCCCTGCACACCATCTCTGTCCATCCCTACACACAGGATGCAATGCACTAATAGGATAAGATAGGATAGAATCAGATAGGATGGGATTATTTTCAGTTGGAAGGGCCCTACAATGATCACCAGCCCAAAAGTGAACCCTTGGGATGCAGCGCTGCTTCCAGCATGGGGCATGAGCAGCCTGTGGAAGGGATGCTCTTTCAAAACCCCACGGAGCCGGGGGGATACTCAGAGAGTCCCCTGTCCCCCTCTCCACAGGGGGAATCCCAGGGATGTCTGAGCCCCCCATCTCCCTCTCCACAGGGGGTACCTCTATGCAGGACTGGAATTTGGGGCCGAGTGCTACTGTGGGCACAAAATCCAGGCGTCGAACGCCAGCGAGTCCGAATGCAACATGGAGTGCAAGGGGGAGCGGAGCAACACCTGTGGTGGGATCAACCGCCTCTCCATCTACCGCCTGGAGCTGGCCCAGGAATCCGCCAGGAGATGTAAGTCAGTGGCATCCACACAGCTCCTGGCTCAGCCCTGGAATGGGGGAATCCCTCACGGTGCTGGAGGGATGATCCCAACGTCCCTGTGCCACGTAAGCCAGGTCATGGCTCGGCAGAAGTGGTTTGAGAGAGGTTCAGGTCTGTGAGTGGGGTAGTTTTGCTCCTGCAAACCACAGGAATCCCCCTGTGAGGAATGCTGCTGGATGGGGTGGGTTGGAACAGGGAGCCCCAAGGACCCCAGTGGAAATTCAGGGCATTCTGGGGGACTTCAGAACACGATCTCTTTCCTGACTATCAGGGCATTCGGTGTGTGCTGCGGGATGAAGGATATGCTGGAGCTCCAGACAGAGCCGAGGGTGCTCCCTGTCAGAAGAGCTCGTTTAGCTCCTAATTAAGCAGCTCTATAATTACCCACATTTGCTGCTTGTCTTTCCTCATTCCCAAACAACGGGAAAGAGGGTGCAGCAATCAGATCTCCCATCACCAGGAACCCTCTGAGGGGGCTGAGGGTGCCCAGTACCTGGAATGGTGGGATGGGACCCCTCAGGACACAGATCCCGGGGGGGACCAGCCCAGCCCCAGTCCCGCTCTCCTCGCTGTTTCCACCCCTCCTGCAGCCCGGGATCACCGAGCTGATAAAAATAGCCAGGCAAAAATAAACCCGACTTTGCTGCCGGGGGTTTGCTCTGATTTTGCACCGTAAGCAGCCGGGTGAGCGCATCAACTAACCCGGCTGCACCGCCGGAGGGGGCTGGGAGCCGGGGAAAAGCCGATGGAGCGGCAGGAGATGGGAATGTTGTGTCACACAGAGGCTCCTGCTCCCGAGCCTGGGGCACACACAATGGCAGAAGTGTCGTTTTTAGGGTGCAGGGGTGTCATTTTTAGGGGGGGCAGTGGTGCCAGGGTCACTGTGGCCTCTTTCCCTCGCAGATGGCAGTGCCATATTCCGGGGGTGCTTCCGCCGACCGGACAACGTGTCCATCGCCCTGCCCGCCAGCCAGCTCATGCTCAACATGTCCGTGGACAAGTGTGTGGACTTCTGCACTGAGAAGGTACCGGGGCAATGATGCTGGAATGGGCTAGAAGGGTGCTGGAATGATACTGGAAAGGGCTGGAGTGGGCTGGAAGGATGCTGGAAAGGTGCTGGAAGGGTGCTGGAATGGGTTTGAAGGATGGTGGAATGGGCTGGAAGGGTGATGGAATGATGCTGGAATGGGCTGGAATGATGCTGCAAACCAGCCCGCACTGCACAGCTGGACCAGGACAGCAAGGATGGGTATGAGGGGTAGAGGAAGGATCTGCCAACAGGGAACAGGGACACTGCCACTGGCTGCCCTCCATGTGCCCATCCCTGCAGGAATACCCGCTGTCGGCCCTGGCAGGGACCTCGTGCCACTGTGGATTCCCCACGACGCTGTTCCCGCTGCACGAGCGCGAGGACGAGCAGCTCTGTGCCCAGAAATGCCCCGGAGAGGAGTTCGAGAGCTGTGGCACTGCTGAATTCCTCCTGGTCTACCAGACCCAGGTGCAAGGTGAGCTGGGACAGGCAGGGATCACTCCAGCACCCTTTCCCCACCCCCTTCCTGGGAATACTGGTGGAAAGTGAGTGTGAGCTCGCAGCATCTTCCATTAAAAGTTAGCATTTCTTTGAATTTCCTGGGAAATCAGTCCTCCCCTGAACAAACAGCTGCAATCACTGCCTGACTCAGCTGCAGGGAAGAGCAGTTTTCCATCTGCCTCTGGAAGGATCCCTCCTTGCCAGGACTTTTCCCACCTCCCTGGCACCGGCCGGTGAACTCATAGGGGCTCTGCCATCCAGAGGGGATGAGCTCCAGGGAAAAATATGAGGGGGGAAAAAAAGCTGTGACCAGGCAGAAATTCCCTAGGAGGCTGCACAGAGAGTACTCCTGTCCTCTGGCATTGGGACCATGGAGATAGGAAAGCCCAGGGAAAGGGGAAAACTTTTACTGGGAGAGGAAAGAGCTGAAGGGAGCAAGTGAGGACCCAAATTAAGGTGGTTTTGATTCAGAGCAGGGCAGTCTTGTCACAATTTCCCCTTCAGTGTTTGAGGCCATGCTGGAAACGGTTGTTCATTCATCCATATAAAAAGTAGGAACGTTGCTAGGCACAAGCATCCCTGTTACTCACTCTTCCTAAGGATGCAGGCAGCAAGGAGCTGGTAACGGCAGAGAACTCCTGTCTTCTCCTTAGGACCTTTTGGGGTGCTTAGGACTCCTAGAGGCGTTCATGACCTTTTGGGATGTTCCTCTGTGCTTTGGGCAGGGCACTTTTCCCTGTATCACCCACCACCTCACTACTGCCCCACCATGCTCTGGGGAGGCCGTGGGAAGTCCCTGTAGGAAAACCCTGTTTCCATGACACATTCCTGACGTGCCATGGCTGGTTCTCACTGCAGACAACCGCTGCATGGACAGGAGGTTTCTCCCCACCCGTGCCAAGCAGCTGGTGGCCCTGGCCAGCTTCCCTGGAGCTGGCAACACCTGGGCACGGCACCTCATCGAGTTGGCCACCGGCTTCTACACCGGCAGCTACTACTTTGACGGGTCTCTCTACAACAAAGGTGAGGGGGGGGGTGGTTGCTGGGAGTGCACCAGTCCCACCTGAGCTGGGGAAGGTCCTGGTGACATCCCGTGGGTCTGCAGGAAGGGGAAAGCAGGGAGTGATGCTGCTCCACGGGGTGGTTGGACTGAGGGTGTCCTGGTCAGATATTAGGAGGAAATTGTGAGGGGGATGAAGCCCTGGCATGAGTTGCCCAGAGAAGCTGTGGCTCCCCCATCCCTGGAAGTGTCCAAGGCCAGGCTGGATGGGGCTTGGAGCAACCTGGGGTAGTGGAAGGTGTCCTTTTCCAAGAGGGTTGGAATGAAAGATGTAAGGTCCCTTTCAGCCCAAACCATTTTGGGATTCTGGGATTCCAATAACCCACTTCATTGCAAGGGGACAGAAAAGCACCAGTTCCCCCATTTTATAACATTTACAACAGTTTTATTCTTAGACCTTGAAGGTTTTTCCTATTCCTCCTCCTTCTCCTGCACCTTTGAGAGGAAATCCTCTGCAATTCCTTGGCTGTGGTGAAGCTGGGATCTGTACCTGGAATACTCACAAAGCTGGGGGGTACCCCCTAAACCCCTGTTTGCCCAACACCACAGGAAATCCTTTGAATTTGCAACCCCAGCCATCCAGAGATGGAAATACTCAGCCCTGACTGAGGGAGCACAGACTGTTCCAGCCCCTGGCACCCGGTCTGGGGTGCAGCCACATCCCAGGGAGGGGAGCAAATCTGGGAGGAAGCCTTGGCTGGGTTTTGCTCACCCACCCAAGCATAGATTTTGTGTTAATTCCATGTCGGAGGGGCCGGGATGTATCCAGGCAACTGGCAGGTCAACCAGCACAGCCCCGAGTCGCCCGGCACGGCCCAGAGCAAATTACACTTCTATAATTGATGTCATACAGCTTCTTCCAGCTCATCTCCCCCTCGGCTCTGCTCCAGGTGGTTGTGCTTTGCAAGGATTGGGAGGGATGCTGGACTCAGCCCAGATGCTCCATGCAGGGCACAGGGGGTGGTGGTCCCCTCTCTGGACCTCCCATGGCACCACCACAGCCCTGGGCTCCTCCACAGCCCCACAAAAATGTTTTTTTCCCCCCTTCTTAATTTATGGGAGAGTTTAAACGCTGTGGTCAGCGAGATTATAGCTATAAAATACCTTCTTGACCCCCCCAAAACAAGCAGTAGAGCTGAGCATGGCCAGGGAGATGCAGCTCTGAGCGGCCCCCATGCTGGTATCCACCCTCTCATGAATTTTATTGTGACTCATAACTTGGGCAAATAAATGATTTCCATCTGGGAGAGGGATGCAAATCCTCCTTCACGCCCCAGCTGCTTTTATCCAACTGTACTTTGCAACCTGATATCTCTGAGTCCTTCCCTTTCATGGAATCCTGGAATCATTTGTGTTGGAAAGGACTTGAGATCAAGTCCAACTATTTTCCCCCAGTGCTGCCAAGGCCACAACTAACACATGTCCCCAAGTGCCACATCCACATGGCTTTTAAATCCATCCAGGGATGGTGACACTACCACTTCCCTGGGCAGTCTGTGAAGGGCTGGACAACCCTTTCCATGAAGGAATTTTCCCTAATATCCAATCTGAACCTCCTCTGGCACACCTTGGGGCTGTTTCCTCTTGTCCTGTCACTTGTTACCCCGGCAGAAGAGACTAAGCCCTACCTGCCTCCACCCTTCTCCCAGGGAGCTGTGGAGAGCAATACAGTCCCCCCTGAACCTCCTTTTCTCCAGGCTGAGCCCTCCCAGCTCCCTTTCATTATTCCCATAACACCAGGCTCTGTTCCGGCAGGATTCAAGGGCGAGCGGGACCACTGGCGCAGCGGGAGGACGATTTGCATCAAGACCCACGAGAGTGGCCAGAAGGAGATCGAGTCCTTCGACTCTGCCATCCTGCTCATCAGGAACCCCTACAAGGCCCTGATGGCCGAGTTCAACCGCAAGTACGGGGGACACATCGGCTTCGCCGCCCACGCCCACTGGAAGGGCAAAGGTAGGCCAGGGATTGGGATCTGGTGGGAGAGCTCCAGCCTGGCCACCGGAGCTGGGAAGCTGGTGATAAAGTCTAGCAGAGCCCGGATTGGGTCTCCATTGGGGAATTCTGGGCTGTGCCATCACTTTGGGGTCACCATGGCCATCTCCTGGCATGACTCGCAGCATCGTCTTGCATGGCCAAGGGCTCTGGAGCTGGATGGGATGGGATGGGATGGATGGATTAGAGTGGGGTGGGACAGGATGGAATGGAATGGATTAGAATGGAGTGGGATGGGTTCAGTGGGATGGAACAGATTAGAATGGGGTTGGATGGGGTGGGACACAATGGGATGGAACAGCAGGACCACTCTGCCCTGGGTGGGGCCAAAGCAGGGATGGGCATCTCCTCTCCCCAGTGTCATCAGAGGGAGTGGGGGCTACCACGAGCCCATCCCTACGGACAAGGCGGTATCTGGGTGGGATTTCCGTGTGCCCGGCTGCTCCAGAGCCACCACCTTTCCCACGCACAGGCGTGTTGTGGAGGCTGGTTAATTACAGCAATTTACAAATTGCTGTTGTGGGATTGACTTCATTGGAAAGAGTTAAAATATTTAGCTTGATTGAACATCTGCTACCCTTAATTCTGAGTTTATTTAAGGGGAGCTTTTGCTGCTGTGGCTGTTTTGTGCCTGGATTTCGTTATCTCCATGTGCTCACGGAGCCAGAGAGAGCCCAGCCCTGCTCTCCCCATCCCATAAAACTAGGAGGGAGTAATATCTCCCAATCCTTGTTTCCCTGCAAAAGTCCCTGGGCTGCCATTGCCCCAGCACAGTGGGACAGGAGCCTCTTGGTAGATTTTATCCCTATCCAACTGCAGATAGAGCTGGAGAGGGGATGTGGGACAATCACTGCAACACCACAGGGATCATCCTGACTCTTCCCAATCTCAACTCCCTCCCCAGCCTGTCCCATGCCTCATGCCTCCAAGGGGAGGGGTAGGCCAGGAAGAGGGGACCATTCCCTCTGCCCAACACCATCCCATTAGGACATGCATCAAAATACATCACCAAATTCTTTCCAGGGGATGTACAGCATAATTAGCTTAATTGTCAGAACTTGCTAGGAAAGGTGGAGATTTTCCATTGTTTGGTTGGTGAGCCCCATTTTGCTGATCCCACCTGGGCTCAGCCTGGGGAGACCCTTGGCCATGGAGGAGGGGGTCCCAGTCTTCCCTGCTGCCCAGTTCTCCAAATTATTTCCTTCTCTCAAGAAATAATTTGGAGGCAAATTTGGAACAAAAAGCTCCATGACCTCTCTCCAGCCTCACCCCCAGGTGCTGGTGCCAGGGGGATGGATTTCCTTCCCCCTACCATTCCCAGCCCTGCAGAGGCCAAACCCCTGTTTGGTTCCATGACGTTAATTTTACGATATCCCTGGATCGGTTCCAAAGCAAAGTTTTATGTGGTGTGATTACACAAGGTGAATTGTCCTGGATCTGTTTAATGAAACAGATCCTGTGTTTAATGATTCCTGAGGGAATTAAGTGCAGTTCAGCAATTAATCAGGCACTGGTTTTGTGGGGAGGACACGAGGAAGAGGCCGATGCCCAGAGCTTTTATGTCGTGGATGGATCTGTGCGGCACTGCCAGGAGAGTTGTGGCTGATTATTGATGTTTCATTACCCCTCTTACCACCTGATTTCTATGGGAGGATCAATTAGGCAGCAGGATAACTGAGAGGTCTCAGCAGGGGTGTGGGAGGACACAGGGCACACTCACCCACCCACCTCTGCTCCTTCTTTCCAGAGTGGCCGGAGTTTGTGGCCAACTACGCGCCGTGGTGGGCGACCCACACCCTCGACTGGCTGCGCTACGGGAAGAAGGTGCTGGTGGTGCACTTTGAGGACCTGAAACGGGACCTCTTCGTGCAGCTGCAGCGGATGGTGGGGCTGCTGGGCATCACTGCCTGCGAGGACAGGCTGCTCTGCGTCGAGGGCCAGAAGGACGGCAACTTCAAGCGCTCCGGCTTGAGGAAACTGGAGTACGACCCCTACACCCCCGAGATGAGGAAGATGATCAGTGGCTACATCAAAACAGTGGACACGGCTCTGAAGCTCCGGAACCTGTCGGGGGTCCCGGATGATTATTACCCGAGATGATG